TGGAAGACAACTAATGCCTGTATGATCTTATTCATTACAAAAGATGAAGTTCCAAAAGAATTTAGCTAATGTAAGCATAAATTAGTGGTGATATGCAATCAGAGGAATAAATAACCATGCACTGTGTAGTATGTCTAAGAGAGTACTGCTGGGATATGGTAGGTGCCAGATAGAAATCTTTATAGATTAAAAAATGGCTAAGACATGACAAAATTGCAGCAAATATAGCCTACAGAACAGAAGGGGTCATATTGGAGCAGAAAATGAGTAAAGCATTGCATTATTAAAGCTGAAATGTATAAAACAAAAGATATATGCTAGTTAGAACACAAATTACCTCTATGCCATTGAGAGTAGCAATTAGACCTCTGCCTGGAAAGTACTCGAAACTCTCAACAGAAACAGAAGGAAGGTCTTTCCCTTCACTATGGTCTACCACAGCTCTGACACAAGAAAAGAAAGATATATAAGTACTGATAACATCAAGTTGAACATGTTTCATATGTTAAACAGTATATATGATTCAAATAAACCCCATTAATAGACTAGAGGAAATTTAAACAAATATTTTTCTGCAAGGGGTAGAATTGTACGATACTCTTTTTGAGCAGGAAACAAAGTAGATGAATACATGTTGAATCAGAAAGGATATTTACACATTTCAATCGCAGGGTAGAGTAAGTTGAAGATTCAACAGACAAATTAATGGGGTTCTGTCAGAGAACACTACCTTCCAATAGGGTGAGTGGTGCCCTTCTCCATTGCAGCAGCAACAGCAAGGGCCTCCTTTTCACAGCTAGGGACACAACAGGAAGAAAAATCTGATATATTGTTTCTCATCCGGTGCCCGTAAATTGGTTCAATCGCTTTGAATGCTAGCCCCCCAGTTGTCAAGGTCCCAGTTTTATCAAATGCAATTGTGTGACAAGAAGCCAGAGCATCTAGCACATGGCCACCTTTCAGCAATATCCCCTGTATGGAAAATGGAAGGTAATGCGTCAATCCCCAATCGCATTAACAGAACTTTCTGCTAATACCCAATGAAATTTTACTGCACACAGTTTACAACTGCAATACATAAATGCATGTAAAAGAAGCAAATATCATGATGTCTACCTTCTTTGCGCAGGAGCTAATTGCAGTAGCATATGCCAACGGAGCTACAGCCAAAGCACATGGTGATGCTGCCACCATGAGGCCCAATGCTCTATAAACTGACCCTCTACAAGCTAAAGTATTAAGCAGACATCAACCAAATGGATGACAAGCATGTCCCCAAAAAAACACAAAAGATAAATAATAGGGGAAAAAATCTGTAGACCCCCACAACACCCGGAGTTAGGTAAAATTTTTAACACAATAGTTTCGAACAGTTATTTCAACCTATTATGAATACATCTAGTGCAAAGCAGCTCTTCAGCTAGTTCTTTTAGTGGCAGACAAAAAGTAGTTCTTTTAGATTTTGATATTCCAAACTGGTAGTAAAAAAAGAAAACTCGTTAGTGGCAAGAGTGCGTCAGAGTGAAAGTGCTTAGTGCAGATTACCTGATGTACCAATAAATGGCCACTTGAATAGGAATGGACCAAGGAGAGCAATAGCAGCTGACAAAACTACAACCACCTTGCTGTATTGCTCGCCAAACTGATCCAGCCACCTCTGAAGCTTTGGTTTATTCAGTTGTGCTTCTTCAGTCAATTGCACAATCCTGCTAAGGGTTGACTCTTTCCAAGTTTTTGTTGCCTGCATCAACAATTGGATTTAGCACCCAATCACCATCATCATCAACAAGATTTACTAGCACAAGAACTCTAAAAACCTAGCTAAGGCAACTGTCACCTTCACTATTATCCTGCCATCCAAGTTCCTTGCACCACCAGGTACCCTGTCTCCAACTGTTGTCTCCAATGGTTTAACTTCTCCTGTCAAGTGCTCAATGGTAATGGTGGCATTACCTTGGAAAATTTCACAATCTACAGGCACAGACTAATCACAATACAAGCCCCCATTACTATGCTTCCACATTCTAATGTGTCATTTAATGAGATATAAACGATATGTCATTAGAGTGAGGACAAAACCTACTCGATTCATAAAAGAACAATGAGAGAGAACACTAAACTACATGATTAAGGAAATTCAATGGGCGGATTTGTGGCCGAAAACAGTTTCAAGATGCTGGAAAATCACTGCACTACTGATACTTGTAAACATCATCCACAAAGTGGGTCGTTGATCAGTAACGACATGACACGTATCTCACAGACAGGCATTTAGGGTCATAGCTTGACTATAAACTACCAACCATATCGAAAAAAATAAAAAAACATGGTAAATTTGTTCCCATACCTCGCCAGCTCCGACCAAGATAAACGACCCCACTTGTAGGTCGTGCACAGGAACCTGCTTGTACGCCAAATTAGATGTATTGGGAAGTTCTTCATCATTGATGTCAAGCACAAGGGCGAAATCCGGATAATTTTCTTTCAACTCTTTCACATCGATCATGGAACGACTGGTGAAATACTCCTCAGCTGAAATCAACGCACAACCATTGATCAATACACATTGCCACCAAAAAAAGTATCGAACTTGAAATTGAAATGCTTACCGATATGAGCAAGATTGAACATTGCCAACAGTAACCCTCCTTCCAATGCATTCCCCATGAACACGGAAGCAAAGGCCGCTAAAGCCATTAACACATGAATGTTCACCTTCCCGCCACTAATATCTGTCAGCGCGTCAAGTGCCGCAGAGACCTACGATTAAAGTGAATTCAAACTCAATAAATAATTGCACAGTGCAGACCAAATTCTAGGGTTTATTAGTCAACTGAACACAAAAAATGTCAGGTCTTGGTTCTCACCCCTACTAGAGGAAATGCGATGAGTATGAAAGCGTTCTGCATAGGCTTCACGGCGAGCTTGGGCATCAAATAAGGGCAGGCAGCGGCTGCGAGAAAGAGAGCGGTGGAGCAGAAGCACAACTGCAAGTGCTCCCTGAGGAAATCGGCGAGGTCCGTGGAGCAGAAGCACAACTGCAAGTGCTCCCTGAGGAAATCGGCGAGGTCGGTCCAACGTACTGCCTTGGCGAATCGGACGAACTGTTTCTGAGGTCCGGTGAGCTCATCAGAGCCATGGTGATGATGATGATGGTGGTGGTGATGGTGGTGATGGTCATGGTGGTGGTGATCGTGATCGCATGCGTCGGCGGTGCATCGGAGAGTGGTGGAATTGCGGAGAGGAGGAAGGGGTTTGAAGCGAAAAAGGGGAGAGCGGATGATGGGTTTTGGGGAGGGCGAGTTGAGTCGAGTTGTGGTGGGGTGATGACTCAGAAGAAGAGAGTAGTGGTGGTAGCTGGCTCTGATTGGAATTGGATAATGGAGGAGGCTTTCCATTTGGGTTTTTGAGAGAGGAGAGAGGAGAGAGGGTCTCTCTCTCAGAGCTTGGCGTGAGTTGAAGGTGAGAACTTGGAAGCTGGAAGCATCGTCTCTTTCGTTTGCAGCGGTGGGTCAGTGGCACTGAGACTGAGACGGGGGGTTAATTGGAGGAGGTGATGACATGGTCTCCACACAATGTGCTCATTGCGGAGGTGGAAGGAACAAATGGGATTTGGGCCGTTGAATTTGTTTGCAAAAAAGTTATGATCTTCAATGACCTGCGGTCCAGTCATTTTCTCGTTCTTTTTTTTTTTCCCTCTTCTTGGAGAATTATAATATCTAGTTTACCATGTAATTTGCTAATTTGATTCGATTTGGATTTTATTACTAAATTTTTTATTATGATTTCTTCAATTTGATTTTACGTTTTCTCGTTGATTGATTAATTGGCGTTTGATAATCTCATTCTTTTTTTGAAACACAAGGGCGATAGTGTGCGGTCCAGTCATTTTCTCGTTTTTTTTTTCCCCTCTTCTTGGAGAATTATAATATCTAGTTTACCATGTGATTTGCTAATTTGATTCGATTTGGATTTTATTACTAAATTATTTATTATGATTTCTTCAATTTGATTTTACGTTTTCTCGTTGATTGATTAATTGGCGTTTGATAATCTCATTCTTAAGTTCATTTGTGCTTATTCATGTTTTTAAAATTTATGGAAATTAGTGACAGAATTTTTTTTTTAATGGAAATTAGTGTGATTGATTTGTTTTAAAATAAAAAGAAAATGGTTGCAGTAAGTAACTGTTAATTCCATAGCAATTTAAAACCAAACTTTTACAGGGTCTTAATTATCATTCAATTCTGCACAAGGAAAGTTTGATGCAAAGTGAAGGGGCAGCTTGAATATATGGATGGATAGGGTTGAGCAGCTGGTGAGGAGAAGTTTGTATTATTCTTATCTTATATAACTGTTTGTGTTATTTATTTATTTATTTTTATTTTTGGTTGTGATTTAAAGGTGATGGGAATGCAAATTGGACTGGCAACAATCAAACCCAAGAATAAAATGGCTAAAACATAAAACTTATCTGTTGTCACATTCAATATGGGCAGCCAATTCTTTGGTCAAAAATTCCTAAAACTAGTAACTATTCTATTTGTCAGACATGGCTTCTCCTTGTGCTAATAGAGTTGCAATACCCTTTGCATGCATGCATTCTGGAAGCAGAGGCCTGATGGAAAGTATATAGACTGCCAAATTATGAGGGGCTGACCAACTTTCTCTCAGTGATTCCTTGTAAAGGTGAAGATACATGACGTGTGTGATGAGGCTAGGCAATCAACTTGAGCACCCAAAAAGAAATATTATAGTCAAAAGCATTGATTTTGGTCATGTCTCCACAAATCTCCCAAATGCCTTCTCACATTTAATATGTTGATTTATTTGTTTTCACTTGCAGCCTCCACAGCCTTGGACTACATTTTGTAAACTTTTCTGACTGAATGCAGAGCACCTCTCTGATATAGTACTCTTTCAATTCATTAAAAACTAAGGCTGAGGGTCAATTGGTCATGGAGCTTGAGATGAGTATAAAACCCCCAAAGAGCAATACACCAGCTTCACCATTCTATTATTACTTGATTATTATTCTCTCTTGTTGCCTTTCTCATTTTGTTCATTGCTTACCAATTGATATCTGTAACAAATGGAGGGAAGAAAGGCATTTGGTTGGGCAGCCAGAGACACTTCTGGAATTCTTTCTCCCTATTCATTCAATCTCAGGTCTCTCTCTCTCTCTCTCTCTCTCTCTCTCTCTAGGTGGTGGTGGTAGGTAGGTAATGAACTAGTTTATAAATGTCCCCATGAACATGCAGGAAAACAGGTTCAGAAGATGTAGTGTTGAAGGTTTTGTACTGTGGAGTGGACCACACAGATCTTCATCAGATGAGGAATGAGATTCACAATACCAATTACCCTTTGGTTCCTGGGTGAGCATATTTTGGCATAATATATAAAGCACACAAATCAGGCTGCTTCATTTCATGCATGCTGCATATTACCAAAAGAAGCTTATGTTTTGGGCTTCCTTGTAGATCAATAGTGCTGTTAAACCTGTTATGGCTACTGCTTTTACTATCTAACCCTAATTGTAAGGCATGAAGTGGTGGGAGAAGTGGTGGAGTTGGGTTCAGAGGTAAATAAATTTAGACTTGGGGACTTGGTGGGAGTTGGATGTATAGTTGGGTCCTGTGGAGAATGCCTGTCTTGCCAATCCAACATGGAGCAATATTGCCACAACAAAATCTTCACTTTCAATGATACCAACAAAGATGGAAGTCCCACAAGGGGAGGCTTCTCCTCTGCCATGGTTGTTCATCAAAGGTAACCAAGAAAACAAGTAAATAAATCTATCCATGTTGCCTACGTTTTGAGTTACCCTGAAAAAATTAGAGTGAATGTAGGTTTGTGGTTCGAATACCCGAGAAGCTAGCACCGGATCAGGCAGCTCCATTGTTGTGTGCTGGGGTGACAGCTTACAGTCCACTGAAGCAATTCATGGGTTCTAATAAGGTTCTCAAGGCAGGAATATTGGGTTTAGGAGGAGTTGGTCATCTGGGTGTGTTAATTGCAAAGGCAATGGGTCACCATGTGACTGTGATAAGTTCTTCCGATAAGAAGA